AGTCGCTTTACATAATTGTATATAACGGGTTACAAGGCACAAACGCGCGATTCATTACAAACCAGCAGTAGGCCAAGCCCTTGATTATTCCTGCCAAGGATTCATTTAATTGAAGCTGATGAAAACAAGTTTGTGGACAATGTGCAAACATTTTTCTGTTCTTGTTAAGTGCCCTTACTTTGGCTAGATATATTAAGTAGCTTATACGTTGTGTAGAAGCCTACTCAAGTCTTTGGAAAAACATGTTTTTTTGTTAAAATTCAAGTATTAATGACTATAAAGTTAAAGGAAGAAGATTTCATTGAATCAATTGCTGTCAGCATGGTGGTTGTTGGGATTTGTGTGTGAGGAGGTCCTAATCTATAGAGTTGTTGATTCTATATTGGTCTCATTATTTGGCGTATCCATATATGAATGGTCTGTACTTATCTATTGCGTCTGTCTTTGATGGTAGTAGTTTTCAGGTGTGGGTGCTTGGGTAGAGAGACATGAGTCTACTATGTATAGCATTGTCCCTATGAATTAGCCGTTGTGCTTTGCTTGAAGCTGCTTTTGAGAGGAGAGGAGAGCTCCGAATAGAAGTTCGGTTCTGTCTACTATGAGAGTGGAGATGTTGATTATAGTGGGATCAGCTATGGGGCTTATAAAATCTGTGGTTCTGAGAGTTAACTCTGCGTGACAATGTATGGTATGTGTCCATTTTTGTTATTGTGATGCTAAGAAATGTCTTCCTATAGCTATTGTAAATTAGGTTTGGGTTGTATGTAAAATGCCTCAGTAGCATTGTTGTTGTAAACAATGATCAACCCTTTCAAGATACATAGTGGTCTTGGTCATTTATGAAGGGCGCTTAGGCGAGGTTGGTCATAAATATAGTTGTTGTAAGATCTCCACTCTTAGTGGAGTCAGCACTACCTAGTGGGACGATTTCTCCGCTCCTCTAGTAAACTTAGCAACAGTATGATATCTGATCAGCTGACTTTGTTGCGTGGGTTAAAAGTCTTATTGAAAAAAGTTTCGAAGATTGTGACCATCGAAGGTAGCATATCGGTCAATTTGTAACAAAAGAATGGAGTTGAGTAAGAAAATACATCGAGTGTCAGGTCCACTTGGTTTCTTCTTCTTGTGTTCCACAACCTTACAAATTTGGTGTTAGGATTGATGTATGCATTTATTTTGTCCTGTGTCGACTCAAGTGAAAGTTTAGGATTGCGGCTCTATTGAGCTTGCTGGTGTCTGTTAAGCTTGACATCGTGATTGATCAGAGGCAAGTATTCCAGAACTGTATAGGAAGCAGAACGTTCAGCTAAAATCACGGAATTAAACAGTTCTCATTTAACTTTATGAATAATACCAACTGCCAGTGAGTTTATTTTGGTTAGACAATGGAAATTAAATTCAAAATCAAATAATTACATATTAAATCTAGTCATAGATTTTTATTCCGTTATGGTTGCAACGATCCATAAGAATGTTTAGTAATTATCTTGATTTTTCAAATGAATAAATTCACTGAACCCTGAGGCTAGGCCAAAACCCATGTTCAGTAAGTTGGCACATCGGACTATTCGAAAAACCTACCGATTGCATCTTTTCATTCATCTCTTCAATCCAATGAAAGATCTTGACGTTCTAAATTTCTTTCTGTGAGCAATGATTCTATTATAACTATCCACCGACTCGTTTAATTGTGAAAAAATCTTAAAAAGGTTTGATAGTCAGTGTTTTGACTTTCAAGGCACACGATGATACCATGTTTAAAACTAACAGAAGTTCTGAAAGTGGCGAAAAACCCCTGTAAACGAAGGTTTCCATAATTTCTTTATCAAAGCTTTGAGTTGAGGTCTGAAAATCGCTCGACCTTTTAAGCCGATAATCCTTGCTTTGCAGTTGTGGTCGCTTGTCTCATTTGCAATAACTGCAGTGGAATCACGATATAACGAACCCCGGATATAACGAACTTCCCGGTATAACGAACTAAATGCCTGGTCCCTTGGATTCTGCCTAACAAACTCCTTACAAATTCTCTCGGTATAACAAACCCCGGATATAACGAACTCTCGTTATCACGAACCATTTTTAGGTCCCTTCATCATAATTACCCTTGATATAACGAACTTTCATAAATTCTTCATCTGTTATTTTTGTTTATTTATTTTCGGTATTCATTTATCACTTTCTCTTGGGGAGAAATCATTTTTATAATCGGCAAAACATGCCGATGATACATTTCAAGTACTGGCTGATAGACTCAATGCACGAGATGAAAATTTGATTGCGTCAGAAATTACTGTGAGTGAGTACATTGCAGTAATTTGAGTACATTGAGTACACTAACAAATAACTTCTTACATATAAGGCATTAGCAATAAGCGACGACAAAACTTTATTGAGAGACCCAGATGGAGAAGCAGAAAAAGACAAGTAAGAATGTGAAGTAATTGAAGACATCATTCAGGCACCAACTAGGAGCGAAGTGATACCAGCTTTGCCAATCTCTTGGTCCCAAGTTATAAAAGGAACACTAAGATTTTCATTTTCAATGACCAGCCAGTTGTATTATTTGAATTCAGATTGGTTTTTTGAGTTAAATGGTACATGTATGGCTGTACATGTGCACAGAGGTTGGAGATAGCCTAAACAAGCCCACCATAGGTTTTTTAGGCATGAACTGCGAAAGGACCCCCAAAAAACATTATCTCGCGGTTTAACAAACTCCCGATATACGAACTATTTTCTGGTTCCCTTCAGAGTTCGTTATATCGGGATTCCACTGTAGTTACAACCCCATGGCACATGTAAGGCTTTGTTTATTTAAACAGGCTTATTGATCTTTAAGCTTTAAATGATTTGACCCAGATTACACTGTGGTTTACGAGTGTATCTTGCAAGTGCGATCAGTAAAATCCCGTTTTCTCAGGACTCACAATTCCTCTATATACAGTTTACTTTATGTGCATTTTTCTAATCTGTATGCAAATACAAAACTCTTTAGAAACTTTTACTAATAAAATGTGGCCAAAAATGTTCCAAAATTAAGAGACTTTGAATTGTGAGGATTTAGCTACTGTAGCTTTTTTACAAAATATAAACGTGCAATTAACCATTTAATTCGTTCTAACATTAGTCAACAGATAAGTTTTCTTTATGGTGAAAACACAGTTAGAACGAGATTGTCAGGAGAAGCAGACCAGAAGGGTTTATAAACTGCAGGATTACATAATAATTAACCTACCTTATTGTTAATGTTTTTCTCTTTAATATGTTGGGTTTAATAAAGCTTGTTTGATAAAATGTATTGATTGGACTAGCCTTGCTTATGTTTTCTTATGATAAAGTTATGTAGTCTAGTCCATATACAGCTGACTGTATTATTAAGTACTTTGGTGCAATAGCACACCATTGCACGCCTTGGCACCACAAGGAGTGCGATTTATTGCACCCCTGCCATTTTATTCCCAGCATGGCCTGCTACCAGGACAAAAGTATTGCAACACCTGCAAAGGCGATTAATGGCAGATCACACAATAACTTTTGTTGTTGTCTGATTAAGCTATTGTTTAATCAGCCAATGGCATGCAAATAAAATTGCAAATTCAATGAAGTGTTAATTCGAATATTCAATTTTCATTTTTCAAAATTTTAAATCAGCAATTCAAGTAACTTTTAATTAAACAGACATTTTGTGGAGGTGCTTCTAGCTCTGATAAGTACGGAAAATTGCTTTGGAATTGATGCACAAAATTTGTTGATGAAATGCACTGGGATTCTGCTTCTTTCTCAACAAACTCTCTAAGTCAGTTTTTGTTTGGACCTTAGAGAACCTTGTGGATTTCAAATCAGATCATTTTCGTTGGCAACAAAAAATATTTGCTTATTTTAAGGTTAGGCCTTTGTGATGGTCGAGGAAGGAAATAGAGTTTGCAGAATTTCAGGTAAATTTTAGTAAAAATGGCCTTTTAAGGGGGATGTATCGCCTTTTATGAAAAAGGCAGCCTTCCTCATTTTCCTAGCATTGATTTGATTCCACCAAAGAAACTGTTTTCCATTATTTTGACATGTTTCACTGCATTACCTCGCACATCGCTAGTTTATGATTTACTCATTTATATGGGCCTAACTGTACCCAAAAAAATTACCCATGGTGAAATGGAAAATCTCGGGGCGAAAGAAGTCGGGAATATTGACTTAATTTGTTGTTTCCTGATCTCTCACTATTTTGCTTTCATTTTCTGTAAAAAGTTTCAAAATCTTTAGAAGTAAACAACCAGTTACACGAAGTTTTATCACAACTACTAACTCCTTATCCTCTCGATATTTTGATTTTACCACTGCAGATACTTTTTCTTATAACTGTAAGATTTCTTAGATTAATATTTTAATTCTGAGTATTTTGAAATCCTTGATAAATTTCAAAGAATTTGACTACTGTTTTAGCCTGATTATTTTCTCTTTTAACGGGAATATTTCAGCGTAAAGATATTAGTTTACAAAACTTCAATCTTTTTGGATGCCATTTTCGTTTGGGTGTTGCAATACTTTTGTCCTGGTAGTGTAGTTATATAGTTTGTTATATACGGGATTTGTTATACCGGTATTATTTGTACAGAGTTAGGCAGAATCCAGGGGGACAGACATTTTTTTGTCATACCATTAATATATTTGTAATCAGTTTTCATAATATTGGGATTCCACTTTAAATTAGACCTATGATTATTAAAATTTTGTCATTTGATACGTAATACTGACAAGGTGCTAAGCCTTTTTGAAGTGGCATGAAGTAATAGTACCAAGGAAGGATAAACATTTAAACCCGTCTCAATACCCACAAAAACAATAGTTTTGAATTTTGCTCTGGAAAGCAAAAGGTGTGTGCCAGAGCGAGCACGTGCGATTGCATGCCTTTCTGTGGAAAGCCTGAAAATGGAGTCATTTGATTCCAAACCAGTCATTCAAAAACACTGTTCAAATTGGAGTCATGCAAAAACAGAATCATTTGAAAAAAGCCTTGTTTTATTGGGAATAGACAAGTAAGAGACATTCAAAAACAAAGTCATTCAATCTCTGCACAAAGAGCTTGAACAAAGGATACGAGAATGGATAAGAATGGAGTAATGGAAACACCCACATTATCGATTTGACCAAAACGTAGTGGCAGGGGGTAAATATGAAAACACAAAAATAACAAGAAATGAAAGAAGCATAAGAGAAAAAGGACAGTAAGTCAAAGCATGGAACTGCGCATGCTATAAAAAGCACGCCTTGGCAGTTTTAGGCGTGTGTAGAGGCATGCATGTGCGATTGCATGCCTAATTGTATCAGGACTGTATATAACATTATAAGAACAAATTTTTACCACAAACTTCCTAATAGTTTAATGAGCCAAAACCTGAAGAATCAGAGGTTGTGCATATTACCTGAACTTGTGAAATGCGCCTATGCCACTAAGAGAGCAATAATACAGAATACAGTAAAGCAACTAGACTGTTTTCAAAATCCTAGTTTAAACCTTTTGCCAGTACTTAGTTGACGAAGTTTTATTTGGCTCCTTGCAAAATGTTTCATACTGTATTTACTGGATTATATTTCATCCTTAAAATCAAATGACTATGGTTCATGAAAAAATGCAATGATTTATGGTATGTTGTTAAATAATTTGTAGAATTTTAGTCTTGTGCGTCTGTATGCCTGATGTAATTTCATTCATATTTTAGATAAGTCAAGTTGTGGAAGGATGCAGGCTTCCAGTCAACATGTCAAGTTCTGATGACTGGCGTTAGTATGAAATTCATGTTTTTTTCTTATCAGTACTATTAGCAATTTTTAAATATCATTTATAATACCTTTATCATTTGTGTATAGATTCGATAGTTGGCGGATGAGGTAGTAAAGTTAAGAAGGGTAATATTAAAAAGAAGAGAAACTGAATCATCATTTTTATTTGCTTTACTTTTTGCATGCTTCAGCTTGTTGCTATTAGTAGAAAATTGTTACTAGACATTTTATGTGTTGGTTTATTTTGCAGCCCTGGCAGAAATTGTTAGCAAAAGAGAAAGAGCTGGTAGAGCAGAGTTCTATGTGCATTACATTGACTGTAAGTACCAGTGATGTCAATGTATCAATGCATCAATTTACCACTATAAACTAGACAAGCTATCACAAAGACTGCTGGTAGTAGGCATTGAGTCATGGTAAATAGGCTTTCTCTATAGGGGGTCATTTGGTTTTTGCGTGATCACTGCTGTTGCATGTGATATTGGCATCCAGTGTTGACAACTTGCTATTGATGGAAATTGTTTTGTCAATCAGTACAAGATGAGTTCATGTGACCAGTGCCAGGTCAACCAATAGCATTGCAGTCATGAAAATCATGACTCAGTGGATTTTGGCACTTAGGGTATACCCAATCCATTATATCATGACTCAATGCCTTTAAGTCAATAATAAAACTCAATTCAGTTTTTAATTGAAGTCTAATTATTGCTTGAGATAGTTCTCATTAGCTATTTGCACGCATTGGACAATTTGAGCGTGTGTAGCATGCAATTGCATGCCTCATATCACAATGACTGCCATATTTATATGAAATTTTGCAATCTAAAATTCAATGTTTACAGTTTTTAAAATGAAATGGAAAATTGAAACGTATTGCATTGTACTGTAGCACATTTGTTCTAGCATTGCTCAAAGTATGTGACAATATTTGTTTTCTTAAACCTTTTTTGAGAAAACCTGACATCCTATCTGTAAATATTTGATAATCCAAATGAGTTATCAAAAATAAAAGCACCCTCCTCAGATTAACTCTAAAATAAGATTGAAGACTCAACTAACGACACAAAGCTTTTTCTTTTCTTTCCCATCTAAACATGCTTGTATGCTTTCAATCTCGAAATTCTCTCTTTTTGTTTGGAAATACACAGTGGAATCCAGCTATTACGCACTAATATTCTAGTGTCTTGGATTCTGCAAAAAACATTTATTCTATTGTAATTACTTCCTGTATAAGAACCTATGGCGTAACGAATTTTTATTATTTTTTCCATAAAATGGCGATTTAACGTCAAACAAGTGAAATTATTGTTGATTTTATAGACAACAAACGACTGGATGAATGGGTAACTGTGAACCGACTTGATCTTTCCCGTGTACAGCCACCGAAAGCAGACGAAAAAAGAAAATCCCAAGTTTCCACATCAGCCCCTTCTCCTGCGCAGCCTTTGCCTAAACAGCCGAGTCCTGGGAAAGCCAAATCCCCGGAGAGAGAACCAGTTACTGTAAATGGCATACAGCCAAAGAAAGGAGCTGTAGCAGGAAGAAAGCGCAAGGCAAACGCGCTTCTTGATGAGGTTTTCTATTCGCTTAAATCATATGATTTCTCAGCAAAGGCATAAAAGTAGCAACAGTTGATGTCCATAAAAGCTTTTTCCCTTCAGTGTACACTGGAAATGTGAAAATAGAGATAATAACTGTTGATATCGTTAAGTTTTCAACTTTTAAACTATGATTTCATTGTTTTGTGGCAAAAAGGCAGGTACATATTACTAAAGCAAGTTCGCTAATGTTAGACAGTTTCTTAACTGTTTGCTGGTACATGTGGGGGCTAAGTCTTCAAGTCAGCCAATCTTTGTTTTCGGATGTACTTTGAAAATTTACACATATGAACTCTAAATCATACTTTTGTCAGTCCATTCATAAACCTTGAATTCGCAAGCTCGAGTTTAGAAGACACAATAATGTATTTTGAGACGCCATTGCCTAAACTGAAATTGTATTTCATATGTTCTGCGAGACTAGTTTTCAGAGTTGTCTTTATTTCTTGCAAATACCAATTAATACCAATTTTAAAAATTATTTCCTTTATTGGGTATTAAGATGGATTAATATACTGATACGGTAGCTTCTAATGAAAGACTCAGCATACACAGGTTGTACAAAACTTTTACTTAGGCTGTACAGTTTGCTGAGTACGCTCATCAAACTTGAAGTTTTGTATCATTCCTGCATTTGCTTTGTAGCCCGAATCTGTGGACAGCCCCTCTTCGACATCGGGGGAGGTATGCAAATCAAGCAGCTTACGATCTGGTGGGAGCATGGTGGAAAAATCTCAAGATGATATAGTAACAAGGGTGAAAAATATCCAGCTAATTGAAATCGGAATCCATAGAATCAAGCCATGGTATTTCTCTCCATATCCCATTGAATTGACACAGTTGCCGTGTGTTTTCATTTGCGAATTTTGCCTGAAGTATGTCAAGAGCTTTTGCTGCCTGAGTCGGCACAGGGTGAGCCATTAAATTGCTTTTACTATAACTCCCCCGGGGGCTTATTTATTGTTTGGGGCTAGTTCGAAAATAGGGCCTTATTTTGCAGCAGCCAAAAACAATGCCAGGGTAAAGTTGATTGATCTTTTTGAGGCTGGTGAATGTGCTTAAAAATACAGATATATTGAGATAAACCCATTGCTGTCGAGGCAGTACCTCAACCCATGTGGCCTATTTTAGGGTGGGGGCTTACTTCACAAAAATACTTTAGGTTAGGGGCTTCTTGGAGGTCAGGGGGGAGCTTATTCGAGGACTAATGGTAACTACCAGGTCATAAATAAGTGGTAGATAGGAAAGGTTGAGTAAATAATGACTAGGGATGATGTTGAACGCAAATAGCAGCCGCTAAGAGCCGCCAGGAGGAACAGATGCTTCATACCAGCACTAGCTCAATGTCCAAACGAAGCCTAAAGAAGAACTCTATCTCAACTTCCCTTGTTAAAAACTGTAATCAATGCAATTTTTTCAAACCGTTATATCTTGTCTGCCAGTTTGTCGTTCCTAGATTTTGTAGTTGTTCTTCACTTTCATTAAGCTAATCTTGGATTTTATTTAGAGCCAAATGGATTTTAGCGATGGGGCAGCGGGTATGCGGCGTTGAATGTGCTGTTGATATTTGTAAATATCAGGTTTTCCTAAGTAAGGCTCTAATGGATGATATCTTGTCTACGGCAATACCAACCTAACTGCCCACTTTCTGCTCACCCAGGACGGCATTTTTTGCCGGACGCATGTTTCTCAAGGGAAAGAATCATTAATATGGTATATTTTCGAACAAGCACTTTCCTCGTGATAAAGTATTCATAAAGCTGTGTTACTAGTAAACTGTAATTCTGGCCAAGTACGAGTTACGGTCGCTTGACCGCCATCTTGGAAAAACCATTGCATCACAGGCGAAGGAGGCAGGTCGAGATATTAACGTTTACAGTCTAATATCAAACTTTTTCCAGTTACTAAAGTTGGTCTTTGAAAAACTGCTGAATGGTTGTTGATGGCATTTTCAGCATTTTCTGGCTGATTCAAATTATATCTTTTTGCAAGGCTCTTAGCTTGTGTAATTAACGAGTGGTTCAAACATTTTAGCGAATGTTCTAACAATTCATGTATTTTTAAAAAGACAGGAAGTCATCCACCCGTTTTGAAAATTTACCACGCTAATATCAAGCTCTTTCTTTTCTCAGGAAAAATGCAACCTCTATCATCCGCCTGGAAATGAAATTTATAGGAAAGATAACATTTCCTTTTTTGAAATTGATGGAAGAAAAAACAAGGTAGGTAGACTTTTTCATGTACTATTAGGGATAGAAAAATGATATATTTTAAAATATGCAGGGGCGTCGTAAAGCTAATTAAGGGGGTCAGGGGTTGGATTGCCATAAATATGACATTAGAGCAGTATAATTTTTGGCTTTGGGGGCTTATTTGGTATTCTGGGTAAATGTTCTTGGGATTCCCTTTTTACCTGGAACGACATGGGGTTGTAAATGGGACAACTCAAAACTGTTAAGATCTTTGATAGATAGGGGGTTAGGAAAAGTGTATTGGCGTGAAGACAATTCAAACGAAATGAATTGGGATTGAATCTATTTTTCTTCTGTTTTCAGATAAATTAATGCATGGGTAAAAAGGCATTCATATGATCGAAGACCTCAAGAAAGGCGAATGTAAAGAAAAATATGAGAACGCCATGCCCCATAACTGGCCTTCTTTTTATTCTCGGAGGAAGATTCTCCAAGCTTAAAGTGCCTAAGAAATGAAATTTTACACACAGTTTTCTTAAAAGAAATTGAAACTTCTACATGTCGTTGCAATATAAAACGAAAATTAGCTGGAAAATTTTCACAGAAAAGTATGTTTTGGGGGTTTTAAAAACAATGAGTACGAGTGACAAAGCATAAGAATCAGTGACGTCATAAAGTTTACGGTTGGTTCCGTCTTCGCGAAAACACACTATACCACTTAGTCAGGGCTGTTAGTCAAACAATTGTGCAAATTGTAATACCAGCATGAAATGTTGCAAAAAGCGGTAGTTTGATACGCTGAAAAAGACGGGATATGGAACCCAACTAAAAATTGCCCCCTTTGACTGTTTTGAGACCGGCGTTCTTTGCCCCAAGCCCCTAATGGCGTTATCACAATATCTCTTCTGAAAGTAACTACAATAGCGCGAAACTTTACAAAAGGGGCTGGTTTGATACGGTTCAAAAGAAAGGATATGGAACCTAGCTAAAATTGTCCCCGTTTTCTATTTTTAGACTGGATACACTGCCCCAGACCTTAATAGGCGGTATCGTATTTCAGTCGTACTTTGGTACAACAGTATGAAATTTTGCAAAAAGGGACAGTTTGAGGCGCTCACAAAGATTGGATATGGACTCTGACTTAAAATTTCCCCCTTCGGCAATTATAACTGTAGTTCCAAAGCGACCTCCTTACTCCTAGTGTACTAAACGCCAACTGTTTTCGTGTTTGCAAACCTTGTGACGTCACGGATAACGCACGCTTTCACCTCAACAATATATCATTGAAGTGTGCCTTTATCTGAACTGTTCAAATTTCATTTCAAAGGCACTTTAAGGAAAATTTCTGGAGAAAAGAATAAACATATTTTTGGACCCTGCCTGTTTTTTTTCGATTTTCAAAATGACTTTTTATTGCATCATTTCCAACTAGATTTTCTTTTTTCTTTCCAGGTTTATTCGCAAAATCTTTGTTTGTTGGCAAAATTATTCCTTGATCACAAAACCTTGTATTACGACACAGACCCATTTCTATTTTACGTAATGACTGTTTTCGATAGACATGGATTCCATATTGTCGGTTTTTTCTCAAAGGTAAGAATGTTTCTCTCAAAAATGCACTTCCTTTGGAACGGAACCACGTGTCTTAAAGGCACAGTAAACTTATACTGTATCTCAACTGGAAAATACGAATCATACCTTACCAAAAACATGATTTTTTTAACGTGCATCTTCTAGAGTTTATGATAAATTCAAAAATGCACATCTTTTGGAACGGAACCACGTGTCTTAAAGGCACAGTAAACTTATACTGTAGCTCAACTGTGAAATACGAATCACAGCTTACCAAAAACATGAATTTCTTAAAATGCATCTTCTAGAGTTTAAATGATAAATTCTTTTCTGCATACCCTAATAAATTCTTTGCCGCAGAGAATCGCCTTCCCCATAAGTGCCTCCAATAAACATTCCCCCAATAAGCTCCTTCCCTGTCTACAATAAAATGAAGATTGAAATTGCCCGCCGTTTAACGCTGCGCATTGCCATTGCGCTACGCAAGCATCCCATTATGCATTTTTAGACTGTCTGAAATCAATTTTGGTTAATCCGTAGAAGTTTACCGTAAATCCTCGAGTAAGCCCCCTTATTTGCAAAAATGAATTTTTGGGAGGGGGCTTATTCGAGGGGGGCTTATTTGCAAAAATGATTTTTTAGGTGGGGGCTTATTCGAGAGGGAGGGCTTATTCGAGCGTGGGGGCTTATGTTAGGATTTACGGTACTGGCATTGTTTGGATCGTCGCCACGCTCGCAAAGGCCAATTGTTAGCAATGGGTCTTAAGATTCAGAAATTTACTTCTGTGAAGATGATTGAAATAACAGCAGATACAGTTAATCACAGCAGCCCTTTCAACCAACTTTCCTTATCCATAATAAAAAGTCTAATCAACGAGGCGAAATGTTGCAAAACAATAGGAAAAGAAGAAATTCGTTACCTTTTCCCCGTGTGTAGGGTTTGGTTGAATTTTTATGTTGTAATACCTATAAGAATCTACGTAATATAGAGTTGAAAGGATTTTTTAGGCTCGTTGACACGGTAAGAAAGGTATTTTTTGTTTTTTCAAAAATGTTCTGTTGAGTATCTAAAACCAAAAAATCCTTTTTTAGGAAAAAGAATCTACCGAAGATTATAATGTCGCATGTATATTGACGTTACCCCCTTACCAACGGAAAGGTTATGGGAAGCTGCTTATTGAGTTCAGTAAGTATAAATAAGGCCATGGTTATTTTTTATGTTCTGTGAGACGGGGGAAGGGAGGGTGGTTACACCGATCATCTGAGGTAGTACAAAAAATTTCCAAATTTGGGGCAGACAACAAAAATTTTTCAACTTTCTGGAGATCCTTTGCATTCAGAAATTCTCAATACACTTTTCCTTTTCCATGTATGCTGGAACCTTTTTAATTTTTCTAAGCATTTGAAAAATACGATGTATCGGTGAAATACGAAAGGAAGAAATAAAACATTTACTTATATTATACCTCAATGCGTAATTCTCTCATCTGATTGTTCAAAAGGCTTTTAGTTTCAACCCTGCAAAAATTTTCAGCTTCGTTGAAAAATGACTTTTTCCGCTCCACCGATTCGTACGCCTGATAGAACTACTGATCCAACATTGACGAATGAAGGGACAACGTGAAGTAGAAAATTGCATTAATTTCAACAGATTTGTCAGGGATTGTAGCTCAGGGTTTCTCTGGATGCCATAGCCTCGGAATTCTGGAAAGAACCACGTAATAAAAATACCATCTCCTCACACTTTCTGCTGCTTGCCTTCTCAGCTACCGACTTTAAAATGCTTTTATGGAACTGCTTTTAAAATGATATTTACTCCGGCTACCCCCCGCCAGCCCCTCCTCTCGCGACGCCCTAAGAACCAATGGTGAATGCCTGATGATTTTCTCCAACCTTAGTGGTTTGAAATGAGAACTTTAAACACAGCTAAGGATGGTAATAATTGGAGGGTGGGCATTAGGGAAGAACAACAGGGGGAGCTAGCAGAAATTGAGTATCAAGACAGTGGAAAGAAAGATGTTATATTGTTTTGTATCTAAATACTCTGTAATATTTTTACCAATAGGTTTCCATCAGAAACTAGGTTTTAAAAATGACAACCCAAGGCATATTCAAATCAGTATTTCGTTTTTGCATCCACTTACTAAATCAAAGCAGAAATCTTTTGTTTACTTATTTTTAACAATAACTTCGCAATACTGAAAAATTGATCTGCACCTGTTTTCATCACTGATTCGACATGTTTTCGATTTCGGCTTGAAGTAATCAAAGAGCTTTTTGTCTTCCAACCAAAATCTTCGATTGAAATCGAATGTTTGTTAAGCAGCTTAATGCAGTGTTTGGTTGGATATTAAATTTCATTAAATTTTTCAGTCTTCGTATTTGAATGCTTAAATAAAACAAAAATACAAATATTTGGCTAGTATCTGAAAAAGCAGAGAGATCTATCAAAACAAATAGTTTTCAAGCAAATAAATTTTATTTAATTGTCTTTACCTATGTATACTAACAAAATATTGGTATGATTCTGAGGTCGGGAATAAACGGGAGGGAGGTGGTTGTCCAATGTGAATGTTAGAAAATTTTGAATTTTCATATCAATGGAACAAGGGGTTTGAATAGGCAGCAGAGAGTCTTAAAAACCTCAAGTACCGATTTATTTTAGATCACAGAATATCAGGGGCGACAATTTAATTTTGAAGGGGTGGAGAAAGACAGTCATCTTTCCGCGTTTCTTGTTCGAGGAGACTTCCCCTTTGCAAAATGTCTGATCTCCAAAATATATTTTCTGGGTCAATTGTAGGGAGGGGGGGGGGGAGTTGTTCAGCTTGAGCATCAAATCTCTTGAAGAACTCCATGAAAATGGTGAAGGCTAATATGAAATGGGGGTTGAAAATTCTTCAGAAACTTTTGAACGGGTGTAGGAATAGAATGTGGGTTGGACAGAGGATATTCTATTTGGTGATCAGAAAATAAGTAATGAGCTGAATTGATGAAAGTTTTTAATAAAAACAACAATAATAATAATAATAATAATAGTAATAATACCTTTTTAACTGTTAGTTTGACAATTGTGTGAACGCTAATAAACACTAACATGAAGCAATTTAAGAGATTGCATTATGGAAGTCATTGACTGCAAGCGTTACAGGCGCAATCTTTTATAAGTACTTTGAATTGACTTGCATTTTTGGAAGATGTTATTTCATTTGGAAGAGAATTCCAAATCTTTGGACCCAAAAAGCTAATAGATTTTATACCATAACTTTTGTCGTTTTAACCTTTGGAACAGATAGAGTATCCATTTTTCAAAGATTGTAGCTATTGGGTTTTGAGAGAAAGTAATCTTTCATAAAGACTGGATTCAAGTTGTGCAGAGTTTTGTAAACTTCTAGTGCTAGCAGCCGAATGGAGTGAATATGAATTGTAGTAGATTTAGCCTTGACTAAAAGTTTAGAATACGATGAAGTGTAGTCTGAGAGGGCTAATCGTCTATCTTTCCATAAGTCATTTTATGCGAGTTGAAAGTGGGCGGTTTGCCAATCTCCGAGTATCCTGGGACCAAGGGTTTTAAGGGGTGTTGGTTAGTTAGCTTGCATAAAATAAGCTTCGGGATGCTTTTTTGTGCTTCAGGTTATTGGATTTTACCTGTTTTGTGATTCTTTTTCAAACGTTATCCCCCGGTTGGTAAATTGATATTTTTTGCTTTGCACATCCGTACACTTTTTACATATTTTTAAAGTTGTATTTTGCACAGGGTGACGATGGTGAGATAGAGGTCCATGAATTGAGTACCCTCAAATTCTTTATTTATTGTTTCTCTAGAATTTTGCATATTTGATATCAATTTTAAACTAAGCAGTGGTTATTAAGTTGTTATATACAATTTCTCTTCAGGCTATGAGCTGTCTAAGTTTGAAGGAAAGACTGGACATCCAGAGAAACCCCTTTCTGATCTGGGGTTGTTATCGTACCGAAGCTACTGGTCTCAAACGATCATTGAAATTTTACTGCAGCTTAAGTCTGAAGACGGAAACACGCCAAACATTACCATCACGTAAGACATTTTGACTCTACTGAATTGCCTTTCTTTACCGCATTACGCGAATTTTTATAGGAACTTGATAAATGTTCCTTCTGGATAATTTGAGGCTCCGGTGGTCTAAATATTATTCTAATTTCAAATTCATTTTTCCACAAGTTCATACTATCAATTGCTGTTGAAACCATTAAATAACTGTTTTGCGTTGTTCTTAGTAGCATCGTTGACTTCCTGATCTGTTCTGATTTGTGATTTGTGAATATGAAGACTTGAGTTTTAAGTTTTCTCTTAAGCTATCGTCCATCGCAAGACATTCGTTCATTTTAGAATTGATAATTGGGCAGAGCATTTAGGAAGATATGTTAAAGTAATCAAAGATTCGTCTATGAAAATTATTGAACCGTCAATGAACTAATATTTTGATGAATTAATACTTTTCATTCAAACTTACAAATGACTTTATGAAACGCGTATGTTCGCAAAGTTCATTAGCCATGGACATTTATATAAACATACCGTTAATCCTCGAATTGGCCCGCTTTTGAAAAAGTACCCTCTCGAATATGCCCCCACTCTGGATCTACAAATCGTTAATACGCCCCCTTCGAGTAAGCCCTCACTCCTACCGTATATCCTCGAATTTGCCCCCTTGATTTGTTGATTGTTGCCATCTGAGGTTGCCTTTGGAGTTTTATTGAATTACCGCACAAGTTCATACTTTTGGTAATAATTAACCAAAGAAATTCCTACTAAAATATACAAGGTCTTTTAATTATGTTTTCTTAATGGCTTCTATGATTTTAACCCCCCTCATATAAGACCCCCTCGGATAACCCCCCATCCAAAAGTATCCAAAGTAAATAAGCCTCCAAGTCGAGGATTTGCGGTACCAGCCAGTGGTTCTCAATTTAGCATTCATTTCAATTTTTCAATGTACTTTATACTATTCTCAACACATAGCTATGCAGCTACTACCTTTGTTTTACAGAGAAATCTGTGAAATGACGAGCATCAGAAAAGATGATGTGATTTCAACCCTGCAGCATTTAAACTTGCTTCAGTACTATAAAGGACAATACATAATCTGCATTTCTAAAGAGGTGCTTGACGCCCAGGTTACTGCCATGAAAAAGCGGAGAATCCGTATCGACCCTAAATGTCTTCACTGGCAACCGAAGGACTGGAGTAAACGTGGAAAATGGTAGCAGTACACGGAAGGGAGCCTCTTGAAATGGCCATTATCCTTTGGGTCTACATATTTCTGCTATGGGTACCCCTTACTTGAAACACAGACAGAGAAACCTGTGCATGGAACTTTTCATAGCGTTATTTAACAAAAGGGCTATTGAGCGTAGACTCACAGAGGCTGAAAATAAACGGGAGTTGGAGGGTAACCCTGTCCCAAGCGATAAATGTATAGTTCACTTGAAGAGCTTAATGGTAAGAGTTAACTGGACACTGGAAACAGTCAATTAACCAAATGTGAAGACATCTGCTCTTCTATAGGGCACCTTTGTACCTGTTTATTGCTCCCAATCTTTAACATAGGCTTAAATACAGTTTATTATAACGAGGATGTAAGTGAAGTATATTTACATAAGGCATTTGTGAAGGAAAACTGGCAATGCTTTTTTGTGTCATCTCAGTGTACCATTGCCTCTGGTCATGTGATTGATAGCCAACCTCGTTTGGGTGAATGCTTTTCTGAGTGCTTTTGAAGAAGAAGCGGATCTAGAAGTTGCAAAGGATGGGGGGGGGGGCTATATTTACATATCCAAAGACCTAATTACCTAGTCAAAGAGACCCCTCATCCATCAACTGACAGCTCTCACAGGATTTGCTAGGGTGAGATTGTTGGCACTTCACCTGACAGTCAATTATTGAGAGATTTATAAAAGCAATACCCCTCGAGGCAGTTTGAGCGGCTGTTTTATAGGTGTGTTCACCCGAAAATGGTATCAATCAAAGAAAGTAAAAAACAAGATTCTTGCTGGTGACGCTAGCCAATTTTACTTTCCAGTGTTTTAAGATTAAGATTAAGGCTTTTGGTTTGATCCTATTAAAAGCTGTGTTGATCCTGAATGAAAACTTAAATCCCTCTCCGGTGCTCTTTTTTATAAGTAAAAATGATTAGTTTTTATATTGCTATGATCTATTTAAGAATGTTATGTTTCAAATTGGCCTCCTTGCGACATGATCGGAACAAACTACATATGTAATCAAGATAAGAGCCTGTTTTAATCTAACAGCAGAATATTACGTCAAAAATCATTCATGTTTTTCTTTGTGGCCTCTCGCTCATTAAATTGTTTCCAATGGCTACAGAGATCTTAATCTATAACAGCACCGAATAGCTTTAGGCACTTTTTATGACGTTTAGAAACCTTTAGATAGAACATTCCGAGGAATATTGAAGATGTCGTTACGCAAGGGATATTTGTTCATTTGGAAAAAATCGGTAACAAAAAAGTTTCTATAAGTCGTGGCACTTGATTATGAATGAGCCTTTCGAGCTGCAATAAATGCGGAAAATTTTGCAGGCAATTCAATCTTTCACTTAGGTTGGAATTAAACAGCCCCCCCCCCCCATGTTAATTTTTTCGTGATATTTGAAGACCCAATTCTTTATTCTATTCTGACGACCTATTTCAAGACACTTATTCTAACGTTTTATGCTCTAAAAAGTATCAGGCGAGAAAGCTTGGAACCAATATATTTTAAAATGCTTGCTTTTTTCAAAGCCATTTTCAAGCTCTTTACCGCCAAAAAAGTGTTCACATATTCAGACTTTTATGACTGCGTGCGCTTGAGATTAGAGAGAATCATTTTTACCATGAGCTTTTGTTTTTTCCAAAAATCAACTAAGAGCAGGAGAAAGCCAACCATCAATTTGCTTCAGCCACGCCCATCAGACTCTTGGAAAATCCCTTTTTCAATATTTCTTATCTATTTTGAAATTTTTGGACAAGCATATCCCCCCCCTCCCAAGGTTTTTCAACGGATTTCAAGAAATTAGAAAATCGACTTCTGGGAAAACTGGGGTTAGGGAGGGGGTCATTAACATGGCCTATTGCTACTGTTTATTAACTGATAATTTACGGGAAGAGTTTTTTAAAAATTTTCAAATTTTTTATTACGTAATTTGTGCGTATTCCCTATGTTTTCTCTCTTGAATGATAGTCCTTTTTTCTCATAACAATTTTGGTTTTTGTATATGAAACTATGAAACAATGCTAAAACCAGCAGTCTTTTACTAAAAAGAATTTTTACGAACTGGAGTAAAAAATTCAACTAGTGACTAACGGGGCCCTTTATCGCCTGACTAATGACTAGCAGTATCCCTCCCCCCTTCTACACTCACCCTCCCTCTAAGCATACAACGAAGACACTACATTGCGTGTCCCGTTTCAAAAGTTAGAATTTATGTACTTTCCTTTTCTCATTGGCTTGGTTTTTTTAAACGTTCCTTCAACTTGAAATACAGGTAAACTTTATTTTACTTTAAATATTTGTTGTTTTACAATTAGCAGAAAAATATGCCAAAGAAGCAATCCACGCTCTCTGCTTTTCGCTTCATGAAACTGGCCACACTTGTTGCTTTTTTCCCCCTGGCATTATTTCTTAGATGTTTCCTAGTGTATAGGGTATTTGAACTCGTGTTTCTTGTTCCATGTTTCTTAATAAGAGAAGTTTTCATTTTTTAAACATTATTAAAGTAGTTGAAACAAAGAAAAAGACTCTAAATTGGCGTCTTGTCAATATTTTAACTATATAAACTTTCTGGTAAATTCATTCAGCAATTTTAACGAGACATGCACAAGAACAAGGGTGGTAAACTGAGAAAGTGGCTAGAGATGGAAGATTGAAAGTAAATTGCGTTTCTTGGGTACAGCAAAATCGAGATTTGTGAAAAATCTTTTTCAGAATCAAGGCCCTCTGGAAAACGATGGTGGATATCTAACAAGGTTGAGATTCCCAACTTTGGACGTTGTCGCTTGGCGATTCTTTGACACTGACTAGAAAAGGGACGGTCATTCTATTCGTTATTACCAAAAGGGACATTTAATTGACCCTCGTGCCTTATATAGATATATTCCATGTGCGAAAATAGTCAGAGCTCCAAATACCTTTTTGTTACAAATTGAAAGAGGGAGAGGTGGGGTGTCAAGTTCTTGTGCAGTATCTCTACGTCAAACAGAATTACAATATATTCCTTAAGGATATATTCTTTGCAAATTAAGAATTCAGAACTACAATCTTGGAAAAAAATAGCTGAGACATACGAACGAAAAGGGAATTCGCGTGCTATCTCTTCATATAATGTGCGCTGGTGACCTAAACCCCCCTCCCCCCGTGGTCAATGTTGTTTAGGATAGTTACAGAATAAGTGGGGATTACAGTTAGTTACCAACCCAATCACAACATTGATTAGGGGGAAAGGGGGTGGGTGATTCGTAAGTAGCTTCTTTTTTGGCAAGTGTCTCAGCATTTTTTGCCAAGATTTTAGTTTATAATAAGATATCTTAAGTGTAACTGGATAATTTGTGTCATACCATAAACATCACTTGTACTATGAATACGATAAGAATAAATATGACAGCCTTTAAGACACTAAAATACTCAAACTTCAAGAAAACAAAACGAGAACTAGCAACATAATTTTGACTGGTGATAATGGCTGATACTGTTATAGAGCGTGCTAAAAATGCAGAAGAGACCTCGAATCCAATATGAAACCAATAGAAACCACGACTCGTTTTGCAAGTAGGTCAGTTATCTCAAAAAGAGTCGAAAAAGAAGCAGGCACATTCCTTGCAAACAACTCTCGAAATTGCTACCAATGGCTTAATATTGAAATTACCTATATTCTTGTCTAAATGTCCTTTTATGTTTCATTTTGCCAAAAAATGTTCATTTCAACAACAGAAATTTGATCTCTGCTCCCTTTTTATATAAACACATAATTTTTATCTCCGCCTTATGTATTGTATATCGTACGTATTGTATATCATTCAGAATTCCGGTCTCCATCACACCTAAAATGGCTTCAAGGCCATGTTTAGCCGCTTCCTAATGAATTATTGACAAAATCAGTTTATACGCATATAATATATTAGCAATGCATTCCAATTTGAATAAATCGCTAAAATTTTAATTAAAAAGTTTTTGATTGGGCATTAGATGCAAATAAGACATTCAAATATCTAAAACAAGTCAAATAGAGATAAACAAGCGAAAGAATTATAATGCGCAAATCATCCTCGGTGAAGTCAAACAGGGTTAGTAATTAGTATTGCGTTCAATGCTTATGTGTTTTTGCTGCAAGAGGGGGGAGGGATCAAATCATTAGAAGATATTTCTTGTTCGTTTTCCTAGAAATATAGGCAATTACGAGCTCTTCTAAACAGGTGTGGGTGGGAGTTTGTTATTTTATTCAAGATGGGGCCCATTTAAACGATAAAAATGGACATGTTTTGAAAATAGGGGTTCCTTCCCACACAACCAACACATCCCAACTACTAGCTGTAACGTTAATGGGCAAATGCTGTTAAAGCAAACAAATTTAATTATGATGTCAATAATCGATACGAATCATTCAATGGCAACATCAAATCATTCAATCATAAATCCAAATCAATCAATCAAAATATACGAATCAATAAATCAATTTGACAAACAGGGTACCACATTTAACTCACGAAATGGTATGACTAGGAGCTCGAGCATATGAAAAGCTTTTGCCTTCAACGTATTTTGCCCACAGGCAAACAGAAAGTTACGATAATTCTCAAAAAGTAATTCCAAAATTTTGAGTGCATAAACACTAAATAACTGTTCAATAACTGTGACACAACGCTCTGTGAAGTTTCTAACAGCTTGATGCAAAAAATAAAAACAAAGCAAAAAAGAGTCTATAATGAAGCTTGCTTGTTACCCCATCGCGTTGACTCCTTCTTTGAAGAATGAAGAAAAACAAGTCGCTTCTTTCGCCGTTGCTTTAAGTGTCTTCATAACTGAGATATTTGCTTCGATGAAAGTCATTTCATGGTAAGGAATGTCATGCTTTTTGCACAATGGCTTTACCCTCTCTTGAAGTCTTCGAAGGTGGCTCCTTGTGACGCGGGGGAACAGATGGTGTTCGGTTTGAAACTGTAAGCCGCCATGGAGGAAATCAAACATCGGTGAACATTTAATGTTTGTAGTGGCTTCGAACTGTGAAATGACGTAACCATCTTTATCACGACTTTCTTGTGGCAGTCCATCAAACACAGGCATGGAAAAGTGGCTGAGGCAAATCTGCACGTGAATTATTCCTTGAATGAAAAGAAAATGAAGTGCACATCAGAGAACTATTGAATTGTATTCGCAAATATCGCTTTCCTTTACCCTTATCATCCCAAAAATACTTCAAAATAAGAGATTGCTATCAGGGCCGCAGTTAAGGAGGGGGTGATGAGGTGTAACACCCTTGGTCTATTGCCTATCACAAAATTTGGGTTTAATTTTGATTTTGTCAGGAGTCATCAGTTTTCTACATGTGATACACATTATATACCTAATTTGGTTTTCTTTTGCTTATTCAACGTAACAAACCTGAATTGACCAGTACCACCATTGCTTCATGGCACTTACTTTTGCTGAAAAAACGACGAGCTAAACCACGCCCCAGGTACACTAAATGGGGTTAGCAAGGTCCACACCAAAGTTTGCAAACTCAATCTTTTTTATAAGAATAAACACATAAGAAAACGAGCCTGAAAGTTACGAAAAAATTAAAAATAGCTGAAATGGAGGTACTATGAAAAATAAGAATATAGGAGCATCGTTATTAAGGATATATCTTTAATGAGAGGCTGTATCTTTGCTAAAGTTATCAAAATACAATTTCTACAATTTTAGCATCTGGTAATTTCTGTATTGAAATATTGTCCTCTGTGGATTCCTTGTGAGAAAATCCTATTGGTGGCCTCACCCTTGTATCTGAGCCTGATTGACTCTGGCCTCGTTAAAACGGGATCTAAAATGCTTGAAAATTATCGCTTCGATTTGTTATTTCAGCTACACGTGTTTCTAGTTTTTTTCCTCAATTTTGTAATCGAGTTTCCTTGGTATAGTAGTGCCCGGATAAAAATGTGCATGATAAAGTAATTAAGCCTCAGATATCTAGGATATTGTACTTGTATCTGTAGTTTTATCTTCAACATAGGAAAAAGACTTGATACAACGGCCTAAATTTTGGTAAGGATGTTATTGTAACTATTGCCTCAATGCTAATCTGCTTTACCCTGTCTGTTTTTTTGTTGCTATTCCTTTATTTTCAATTTTTGCTGGTATTTTGCTTCTTGAGTTGTGTTGAATTTCAACCCGCTTTGTTTCTTATATTGTTCTTATTTTTTGGGCAAATCTCAGCCTGATGTTTCTTATAAGGGTTGTTCTTATAGGAAAGCGTGTATTGGAAGTTAATACTGGGCCAGCAAAGAGTTTATTCTTTAGTAGGACAGCACCTGCCATAAATGCAATAACAATATGGCGTCGTTTTGGTTCGAGGATGCCCATTTCCGACGGTTTTGGTGAAGTGTGCGAGAAAAATAAAAATTTCAGTACTATGCGAAATTTTAAAGAAAATTCCAGCTTGATGTTTGAGGAAAAAATTTCAGAACAGTAGGGGGGAGGGATAAATGGCCAGGGCGACGCGGCTTACATGAAACCATGGCCTTAGTCTTTGGAGGTACGAGTCGCATTTTTTCTGGGTATTGATTAAACTAAATGTGGTTTACAGCATCTTTTAAACATATGAAAGTCGTCTGATGAAGCCTTTTATTCCAATCTATTTTCCCAACTTCCAGTATAGACTTCTGGTAGAAGCCATTCTTAGCAAGGGTTTTGCATCGCTATAAAACGTAGATTTCAACAATCAGAAAAATCTGAGTTACTGAAATAGCCAAATATGACAGCCTAGATGTTAGCTTAACAGATGATTTACAAATATGATGTGAGCAGTTGAGTGAGCACTGAACAGCGACAAAATCTTATTTTGACCATAAACTCAAGCCCTCTCAATAGCCATCTTTTGTTCTACCACCCTACTTGGGTTGCTTGCTACATCTAACCTAGAAATGCACTCAAAACTCGATAGCTTGGCATCTAAACCGAAACCGAAATTCTTTCGAATTACCAAAGTAATAAAAGTTGGCTTAAGCACAGGACTCCTTATTACGAGGGGCAAGGGGCCATGCCTCACCACCCTTTTTAAAAAACAAAAGAGCTTTTTGCAAATCTTTAGTTTTGAGTCATCAATTTGGCCCCGCTCTTATTTTCCAACTTGCGTCAGAGCCTTTAAAGCAGTGATAAGATTAAAATTATCACATAGTCAAATTACTGAAGTTTATCGGATTCTCGACCGATTCAAATCTCCTCGAAGAAAAAAAGTTAATTCAAAGGAAAAATTCCTTAGTAAAGCAGAATTTCCAGAAAGCTGAAACATTGGGAGATTTCCATGGGATATCCTCTTATCAAAAGTGAAAACAAAGGAACATGGATAGCAACTGTTATCATTCAGGGCAAACCAATTTGTATTCGCCACAGAAATTTGTACTTAAATTTATTACAACAAAACAAAGAATACGAGTCTGGGTTCAGGGGCGGATCCAGAGCAAATTTGAAGGAGGGGCAGTTGGTAGTAGGGGCGCTAACAAATTTTCAAAAATTGATGACGAGAGTTTGCTGTATACAACAATTTTATTTTTCGAAATAAACAACATAACTTTGAGGTTATCCTTGAAACAAATTAACCTATCGGTCTCAAAAACTTTTCCCCTGATTCCCATTCTTCAAAAGGGGCGCCAGACTTGCTTCAACTCGTTGAGGGAGGGGCAACTGCCCCTAGCTGCTCCCCTTAAATCCGCCACTGTCTGGGTTGAAGCCAAATCATAGTCTAAAGTAACCCATCCCTCAAGGATCAACTCTAAGCTCACTTTTTTGGATTAAATTGGATATAGCATAAACAGATGTCTATGCTAACTCCAACTTTCCTCTCAAACAAGAGGAAAACAACTGCAAGTCTTTGACTGTTGAACAACCATCTAAGCAATCAACAGGCAGCATGTGCAGAGATAAAAATGTGCAATGCTGGTTATGGGATGGATGCACAAATATCTTTCTGGTTCAAGGATACCTCATTTTTCTCTGCTTTCTAACATCACACTTCAAACATCCCAACAAATTGCAATGAGTGTTGACAATTCTTTTAGAAGATTATTATGTCTGAAAGTGATGATTGGGTTAATTATTCACTTCTTTCAACTTAAAGCAATCCATCATCCTATTTTTACAAAAAACACCTGTCCAATTTACCTTAGTTCATCAATGCAACAGACCCAGCTGCCAAAATAATGATTTGTTTGAAGATCTTTTTGTGTAACCAAAATATAATACATGCTGGATCAATTGCATTTTATTGAAAGGAACCTGTCTCATGTAAGATAAAATAAATACTTTTCAACCAAGCAACAAAAACTGTTTGCCATACAAGGTAGAATGTTCTTCATAGTCCTAGATTCTGGTCTAGATTGACATTACAGAGCCTTCACCACTGATCCGAGACTGGAGGTGCTGGCAAAGAAAAGAAAGTTTGACCCCACCTCCCCAGCCCTGTGGCATGTGTACATAATAGAACACTGTCTGAGTTAGTTTTTTTGACAATGGAATCCATTTCTTACAGCATGAGCATAAAGTCTAGAGTGACACAGGGGTCAGAACCACAAATAAAAAAGTAAACATTTATGTGCCTAATCTTAAACGCAAAAAGCTCAGAATCAATGACTACACAGGGCTAACCACCCTCTGAATTTCCAGTACACAATAAAGCAAGGTTGCAAAACTGCAAAAAGATTTTATTGGTTCTCAACCACAGGATCCAAAGTCTGAAAAGCTTCATGCTGGAAGATTATCTGGGGATTATGGAGTCTTCACAATCTCTTCCAAAATGGATCATCCAAGAGATTTCTATTCATTGCAATTTCTTTGAAACAGTCTGTGCATTGTTTTCAAAAGGTAAGTACTTTAAAACAGAAATTTTAGAAATATTGAAAGATCAAATAATCTATCATCATCATCAAGAATGTCAGTATTATTTGTGTGGTATCATCCTCCTTTGCGAACTTATCATCTTTTCTACTGAGGTTGCTCCAACACTTTTTGGATTCCCCTACACCCTTTACAATTTTGAATTCCAACTAGAAAATTATGACCAATGACGGTGGGAATGGAAGCAATGAATCAGATGTTTAGTGAAATTTTCATCTTCCTTTCCAATATTGTTTAAGCGGGAAGGGGGATCAGTCCATTTTAAATAGGAAAAGTAAAGGAAAAATATGCATGGAAAAAAGTGCAATCTTGCTTTTCAAACTTGTGGCAATTGCATTCTTTTCAAGAAAATGTCTCTCTCTAGAAGGTTTGTAGTTTCTATACAGATCATCCTGGACTCTTTGACTATACAAATCACCCTTCAGGTTTCAGGGCTCCACACCACTGATCTTAAACTGGAGGAGCTAGTAATGTAACAAAAGTTTCCTCTCCCCCTCTAGACCTAACTGTAGCAATCATTTTGCATACTTATGGACTTTAGTCCATTGTATTTGTTGAAATCTTATCTATATGAATACTTTAAACTGATTTGAGTCTTTTTCAGCAAAAAAGTAGAGGGGCTATGGCCTCCTTGCCTCCCCCCTTTTGGCCAGACCCTGGGTTTTTTAGAAAGTATTAGCAATGTGGTACATACCTGCAATTCCATGGGATAAAAAGAAGAATAACAGACAATCTTGCCATGTAGGGAGTTGCAAGCACAGTGTGATAAACCACATCCAAAAGCATGACAGGAGTAAAATTTCTTCAAATCGTCTCTTGACATTTTTTGAGCTTAATATAAATATAAAGCTTTGAGCATATAAGTTGAACCTTGCAATAGCCATGACTGGGTAGAACAGAAAATGCTGATAGGGAACCAGTGTCCTTGCTACACTATCCATCTTGAACTCTTTTTTATAATACTCTGAATAGAAAGACTGGAAAAACTTTTTTGAAACCGCAAACACTGGCAAGTGCTGTACATCAGGATCATAGTTGAAGGAATTGGTGACAACATGGTGATAATTGTGGTTATCTCTCCACCAAGCTACACTTATACCAGTGAGAAGATTTCCCATGACACAGCCAAGGATATCATCGGTCTTTGTACCTTGTGTAACTGAGTGATGACCAATGTCATGGCCAACAAAAGCCATTTGCTGCCAGAAGAACCCCATCAATAGTGCAGCTGCACTTGTTGCTAGAAAACCATTTGAGTACACAGCCAGTCCAACTGACATGAGAAGAATGGATGCAATGAAGGTTCCAGTTTTGAAGTAAAACCAATCTGTAAGATAAAATGCAAGATTAGAAACAGTAGAAAGAGTAAAGTTACTTAAATTAGGACTGGAAGATGATGAGATGTAAAACTGACAAATGTTTACTTTCATCAAATTATGTATTAATACATAAGCAAATAACACTAGTGATAGAAACTGGCATTGTTTGCAGCACTTGTGTGCTGTATTTTATTTCATTTTAATTTCTTAGTCAGATAACCCAGAAAGCCCACAGAGATTGCTTTTCAAGCCATTCATAAAAATCTCAGAAAGTAATAGAAGTTTTAGCTCATTTGCACTATTTCTAGAAAAATTTTATACTGTGCATAAATTTTTTGTAAATATTTTTGAAAAGTAACCTGAAGCAAGGAAAATAGAGATTTGTTAAATATTTATGCTGTTTGGCAGGGCATAGCAAATGAGGGTTGTAGGGGGGTGTCACTCCTAATTCTTCATGAGTTTATTGGTAAATTATCAGTTTGTGCAATAAATCCCTGGTTTTTCTGTAATATTTCCTATCAGTAGGTGAAATAGCACATCAATTGTTCTACATATGTCTTTGTCAGTAGATTTTACAACTCATGACCCTCTACCCCCTAGTCTGAAAGATCAAGCTGTGTCACTGCTGTTTGGATTATAATCACATCTGCTACAGGAGGGCAATTTAGACTTTTTATAGATACACTGGCAGATGAGTCATGGCTGTTATGTTACAATTCATGTCTTTGCAGAAGCTGCAGACTAGTCCCTCTAAAGTCCCCCCAGACCAACTAACCTAAAAATTTGCTAAGCTTCTTCTACCTTTCCAATAAATCTGAATAACATTTCAATTTTTAAAAGGAGACTTTACAAAAATTGAAAGAGGTATGGAGCTTGAAGGGGGAATTGTCAGATTGATGCCCCCTCTCCCCCCCCCCCAAAGCAGAGGAGACAGTGCCTGTGACCCTAGTGGTATCTCTAACCAGTTATATTGCTTCTTTGAACACAAAGTTTTTGTCTAATTGATATAAGAAAATAGGCGTTCCTCATCCTCTCTACCGCAGACCGACTCCCCCTCCCCCCAACCCTCGTTCACCATTTGCATCTTACATAAGTGGTTATGAGAAGAAGAATGCAGATAAAATTATGTAATGAGGACGATAAAGTTGGCTGCAGATGTAAGTAAACGTAAATAATTGTAGAAATTCAAAATCATATTTTTTTGAAGTTGCCTTTTCCTAGGCCTATTTTTGCAAGAATCGCCCTTTTCGGGGGATTTCGAAAAAAATCTCAAAAAACTTTAATTGCGGCCTGGCCTGAGGTCTATTGTGATGGTGCTACAACAATTAAAATAACCTTCAATAATTCAAACTGTAGAAAATAAAAGAGAAGATCCTTTGAGTGAAAGCAACGACTTTAGTTGACTTGATATTTTGAATCAATTTCGGGTTAAAGTTTTCACTGTAGGTATAAAAAGTTAGGCGGGTCTTTAGAAAACCGACAGGAAGTGCTCGAAATAAAAAAATTGATCGATTGTGAAATTTCGGACTTACAATCTGGTTTAAAAGCACCTTCCTCTTCTAAAGTCTTTCTGAGGCTCTCAAAATCTTTAGTTATTGCACTTTTTTCGATTTCATCAGTATCTTTCAATTCAAATGTCTTCCCAATCCGAAATGCCGGTAACAAGAGACGGTTCAGTTTCGGGTTATGAAATGTCCTAAAAACTTCACTGCAGTCTTTCCCAGCCAAACTTTTGATGACTTTTTCTCCACCTGAAACCAACAAACCCACGATATTAGCATTGAAATTAAAGGCCTAATTTTTTTCCAAATGAGAAATCTTTTCACCGTATATTCGAACAATAAAAAAATTATTCGAGACAAAAGTTTTTAAATCAAATGCATGGAGAATATCGGGGTGCCTAAAGTTGACGAAATACAGTTACCTGGGTGCTTGTGAATCCATTTTGAAACATCGTAAACAACACAATCTATTATCAGCCAAATGTCACCATCCTTGTTGTGTTTCTTTACCTCTTCTCTTGAATAAAATGTCGTCGCTTTGACATCATTTTCTTTAGACATATCTAACTTGGCTTGCCCGACCGCCTAACTGCTCAACTTCGAAGTTCCAGGAATACTTATTCGCAATTCGGATGCTAAAGCCTTCTATAGGCCTGTGAAAATGTAGCTGAGACTTGGAGAATGGCATATGGTTTGAAATCGGATGAACTGAAGTGACATCTGCCGCAAAATTTCAAGTTGTTATCTAAAAGAAATTTGAGAGGAAACTGGTCAACCTGCACTGTTCATTGTTGCCCACGTGAGGCAATTGAATAGCCAGATTTTTTATTTAACGCCTTGGGCGACAGGCCGCAGCATTACTCTCTGTAGACAATAAACAGGAATATATATTGTATCATTTCCGCCAGAATGATAGAAAGTTGGAGGTTTTGGCGATAGGGAAACTCGTATGGGGCCAAGGGGGGCTCAATTAGACGGAGTAAAACCCGTCTCGCTTACAACATGTAAGTAAAAAACTTACATGTTTAAGAGCAAATTAAGAACAAGCTCATGGCAATACAACGGGCAGCCCCCCTCCCAATACGAATTTTGTTCCGAGGACACTGTCCTCCAAAAAAAATTATTTACTGTTGTAAAATCGGGCAAATAAAAGTGAGCCTCTGTAACTTTTGAAGTAATAATTTAAAGAGACTATAGGGATCTACTGGTTCGCGACAATTGAAGCCTGAGACACAAAAACAAAAGCAAAAAATGATTTAAACGTCTACAAAATTCCAAGAAACTTCCATTCCAGATTCGGATGTTTTCATCAACCTGTTATACAACTAGTTTTGTCTGTCATGCTTCGTGTTTGTGGTTCGTTATTGTTAATGAGAGTGTCTTTCGATGTTTGCGTCAGTCATTTTGTTTGCCATCGTGCCATCTCTATTTTAGTTGTTATTAGTCCATTTGCCGTTAATTCTTTCAGTGCAAGTCCAGTCGAGTTGAAGTTGTCGTTTAATTCAGTCGGTAGAGTGTAGACGTGATTTGAGATGTTCAGATAGCCGTTGTTAAAAATTTTTTCTCGTTACATTGGATTCTCGTCGTCGTATTGCTTTGTTCCTGTATATCTTTCATAACAACACTCATTGCAAGATTCACAGAATCCGGCGGACAGCCTATCCTGCGGTTCTTCCTTCTCACACACTGTCCTAGCATGTCTCCTCTGGGTCGACCCGTACCCTGGGTACCAGACTCACTATACATGAAATAAAATAGAGAGTCTCTATTATTTTAAATAGTGAGTCTGGTACCCAGGGTAGGTCGACCCGGTGCGACTTATTTGGGTGACAAAGAAAAACCAGATAAAAACAGCAAATTTAAACCATAAAGGTTGGATAATTAAAACAAACATTGGCGTAGCAGAAGCTAAACGTTCAAGGAAGGCTTCGGCCGAATATCGTTGCTCCATTGGCATAAAATTGCCCGAGACACGCCCGAAACACGATATGAGCAATTTACACTGTAAACATAGTGATTGGGCAAACACGGTTCCTTTCTGCGCCGCTTCTTTACTTTCAGATGTTTATTAATATTCTATTATTTTGCTCTTCCGAAGAAAGGTTGCCCTTCAACAGAAGCTGTTTTTCAAAACACCCTTGAATAGAAGCAAAATTGCAATATATAACTGGTTATGTACGAAGAATGAGTACATACTCTTTTTACAGGAATGTATAATATTTTCCGACAATATAACATCACGGACCATGTATAATTTCAAAGAAACTGCACATTTTGATAAAAATAGCTGATTTTTTGACGGGACTCTTCAGAAATCTTTGCTGACCACGCCATAATTAAGTAGCAAGAAGAACAATCCATTTATGATTTTTGATATCAAGATTGATATCTCATCTAAGAAAATTTGATGATACAAGAGGTAGACCGATAACACTTTTGACACGTCGTACGTTCATTTTATGCATTTTATCTTGTTTTCGTCAGTGAGAAATACGTTTGAAAATAACTTTTGTTCAGAAGAATCCGATAGAAATTTTGGCTGATCTTTACGGAATTGGAGCGAAACCCCCATTATTTCCGCCACTGCCCCTTTTGGTTACCTGTATCATGGTTGTGCAGCTATTGAGCTCCCCCGTTACGAAACTCCGAGTCGGCACAGCGCTCGACCAGGGACGGAGTACCTTGTGGGCAAGAGTCACCATAAATTAGTCTCAGGAATAAAGTTTTAATTTTCACTCATTCTTCGTCACTGCATCAGTCTACAATACCGTATTCGCGGTTTCTTGAGGTTCTGACTCTGTTAGGAACAGAGCGGCTCCGGGCACCGCCCAGCCATTGGGCTAGCAGGGGCTATAGCCCCTCCACTTTTTTTGCGATAATACGTTAGAAAACTTTTTGGAAAGTTCACTCTAAC